TATATATATATATATATACCTGTGCCTAGGTAAACTGCTTGTACCTGATGATGACAAAACCTTCTCCAAGCATTGAACATTTGTTAACATGTTAAACATCTAATGGAGGTTTTTTTGTTACTCATTTGATCTGTCTCTAAACTGTACAAGTGTCTTCTAATTGAAGAAATTTCTGTAGCTTTCAAACAGATATAATTTAACACACAAATACTTTCACAATTCACAAACAAATGAAACTAAAATTAAGATTTATAGAAACTGTAAAAAAAACAAAAAACTATACATTAATTCTACTATTACATTTTCCTTACAGCAGTAGTAATATTACAAATTAGTAAGTGTTCAAACCACTTGATGTGTCATCATGACAAGATTTCAAACCAAGGCTTGTACAAAAACTCGGGGAAACATTTGAAAATCAAGAAACAGATAATATATTCACAAGGGGTGATTCCTAGCAAAAGTAAAGTAATTCTTTGGGACACATCCCCTCGATCTGCTCCTTCTCATACAACAATAAACAAAAGTTACCCAATTTTAAACTAGAAACATAAAACAATGTAAAAAAAACCAGTAAATGTATGCTATTTAACCCTTAAATAGCCAGAATTGGTAGTGGGTACTGCCTGCCAGCAGTTCAGAATTATGTAGCTTTGTGCCTAACAATAAATAAGCATAATGGCAATGTTTCAATTACTTCAGGAATTGGAACAATCAGAAGCCCTGATTTTGATTAGTTGGTCATTTTCAAGACACTAACTGATATAATCTTTGCTCAATGGCAATCAATTAATTCTCCCAGATTGAATGCTCAGTAATCCAGAAAAATATGAGCCAGAGATAAATTTTAAGAATCATGGTCTAAAAGTAATTTTTTCTTACATTTTAAGCTATTAAGCAACTTCAGTTTAAAAAAAAATAGTAATAAATTTTAAATTGTTTCTATCATTTCTGAGCTATTTCTGAAATATTTTTTCAACCCATATCTTGTCATGGAAATTCAGAATAGAAACAAAAACAAAATTTACCATTAATTCTGACAGATTTTCTTAGATAAAGCCAGCCATCACTATCGACTTTCATATTCTAACCATTTTCCAAAACTTACTTGCATTTCTTTGTCCTCATCTATGATTTAATTATGCTTATAATAGTTTCAAAGTAACTGGTGACTATCATGTGTATATTGGGTGTTTTGTCACTCAGCATTTACTAGGCTCCACATGGCAGAATGAGTAGACAAACTTCATGAAATGTTTGTTTAGAGAAATATTGTACCAAATGTTAACGTTCAAATTACCATCATAATGAGTAATTTTATGTTTTGCCTGTTACACCATCTAGTTTCAAGAACTAACAAAAAAGAAAGTGGGTTAAATTACTTGTTTTCTATGTAAACTACATACAGGACCCCCTGCAGTAATTATTGGGATTAATTGCAATATTGATGGTATTTATATTTGTATTTTTTTCATATGAATTCCAATCAGTAATTTTATGGTTAATTTAGCTTATTAATGAAATAACTAATGCTTCTTTTAATAGTGTAATTACCTTTTTTTCTAAACATCACAGACCACTACATACCAAAATTTATCCAGCTGTGAAAAGGTTTGAAAAAGATTGCATTGAGGTATAACTAAATTTTATGGAGGGAACTTCTGAAATTGTTACTTGTAGGACAGAAGCTTACTAGAATCCAAAGTTAACCTATCTACAATGAACTTTTAATGAACAGTTTTATAAGTAGACTATGACATAAAAATCTTAAAAGAATCAACCTACCTTCCAGCTTCAAAGGTAAATTTTGTAGAATCACTTCCATACCGCCTAAGAGCAGTTAAAGGCCAAGTTACTAGTTTGATACGTGGATTGGTTGTATCCCACAAGTAGATATTTTCATGAGTTACTTGCAACAAACACTCTCCAAATACATCAAGTTTAGGGGTTGGCATCAGGTACACATGGAATTGTTCTATAGGAAATAGATGGGTTTGTTGGACATTTACAAAAATTTGCACATATTCTGTGTATTTTAAATTCCAAGTGATTCTAAACCCATTAGCTAAAGAATCTAGAAAGCATAAGTATTTATCATTGAAATTGGAATGAACACCTATCCTGCACAAGCACAGATTTCAAGTATTTTGCTGTAAACTATTGAACCATAAAGAAATAAAGTAGACAGCTATAAAAAACACATTTTTTGTGGTGTTTAAAATCTTACATAATAAAATAATTGTGGACTAAGAAAGAGAGAGAATATGCAGGTATTCAACATTAAGATTATCTAATTGTTATTATCAAAACCAAATTTTTTTACAACATTAATAATACACAAAAGGAAGTTTTATACAGAAAAGTTAATACTATTTGAAAATGAAATCTAAGACTATAAAAAGAGGATTGGCTAAAGGAATAAACTTTGCTAATATTATCATATTTACAAATGTAAACTAACATGTAGAGCAAGGTTATACAGTTATTTCTCTAATATAAAAATTTTAGTATACAAATTTTAAAAAGATGTTGAATAATAATTATACTCATTTACTTCATGAATATGAAATTGAGAATAATGGACTTTTTGCAAGAATTAAAAAAGCTTTCAATGAAAAACATAAAAAGTTTATGTCATTATAAAAACCTTTAGTATGCATATTTTTGAAAGGCAAACCATTCTTGACCAGAAGCAAGCAGCTACAGAAATCAAAGGAGATTGTTGGGTTTGTTTTGCCAAAAGGTAACATGCTTCATAACTGTGATTAGTCAGATGGTGATGATGTTAAAACAACATATAGATGTGTCCAAGTTATATAAACCACATGACCATTAAGCAATACCAGTGTGGTTTTGATAATTGAAGGCACGCAACAATTGTTTTTCTTATATTATATATATTTAAATAACCAAAAATGATGTTGAAATATATACATTAGAAACACAGGACAGCATTATTCAACTTTTGTTTTTTCATACAAGAGAACTCTTTAGCTTAAAGATCAAAAACTTAGAGTTCTTACAATTTTTTTTTTTTTTTTTACTTTGTTTAAAGGTAAATTACTAGCACAGAATTGTGCACAAGAAAAGTATTAAAAGTAAGAACAACTGGATAACAAAACTATCTAAATCTAGGTTAATATCCTCTAATGAGCTTCTCTCACTTCTCTAGTTGAAAACTACAGTCTAAAAAATATGGCAACTTTACCTTGAAGCTCTTTCTGGATTCCAGGACTGAGAATGTCAGGTTCTCCAGTAATAAGACTTGTCTGGGGTAAAAGACATTCTTGAGCTAACAGCTTCACCCATGTGTCTGCTTCAAGTTCTGGCATTAAAATAGTAAACACATTTACTCTTAACTGCCCCAATGACAAGAAGTGAAGTGTAAAATAATATCTTTAAATAAAGTTAAGGACCTAATAATGGAAAGAATTAGGGTAAACACAAAGAGAAAATAATTTTTAATAATACTGTATCGTTATGTGTGTATACAAGTTCATGTACAAAAAAGTATATAAAGGCATGCTATTTTTTCACTTCATATAAAACTTGACTTAATTCAATTAAACACAAACACATTCTTAAGTTTTAATCAACTATCTATATTTCATCTTAAAAAAAGCACAAACTCAAAGTGCAAAAACAATTTATATTATTACATCAGGTATTCGTTTTAAATTAAACTTTACAAATGAACATTTTATTTGCTTTTCTTAAACTTATTTTTTCATGTACCTGTATTTATTGTCTTGAACAGTGTTTCATGCAGTATTTAAAATTCCTTTCTTTAAATAAGAAACTAAAATTTTAGTGACTGTTTTATTCTGTATACTGTTTGTCAATGATTATTCACATACTTCCATTACTGCACATTTGTCAAGGTCATAATTACACATCTCCCAAGTCTAGTTTGATATATTTCATATTAAACAACAATGTTGACAAGGAGTACTGCCATCTGAAATATAATTATTCTATATTTTTTTTTGTTTTTCATACTTCATGTACACCATAATCTGAGTGTTAATTTCAACAGTGATAAAATATGAGATGGCTCAAGACTGGATATAAACCAATGTAAGAATACCTTCGTGGATTGAAATCTAGTTACATTTAATAAGATGTGAAATACACAAAAAGAAATCCTTAATGCTTCACTTACCACAATCAGAAGCCAAACATTTAGTTTCTGCATCCTGAAAACAGATTGAAAATGCATGCTTCCTGATACTTGAAGTCAAACGAGATACAAGAGTTACAGTACTTAGAACAGCAACCTTATGGCTTCCCCCACAAGAAGCTGTTTTTTCATCTAGGTACTTTTCTAGTCGACGAGGACCCTTACTAGAAGCTCGTCGTAAGACGATCCATCGTCGCTGCCATATCTGAAAGAAGTAACAAGTGTCTGAAATTTTACTGTAAAAGGACAACAACAAAAACTATCAGTATTAACATCATTACCCCACTTCTACACATACTTACAGTTTAACTATTAATAACTGGTAAATATATTTAGTTTCAATTATCAAAATATGGCCATAGTTGGTTACTTAATTTTCTTTATAAAATAGGTTAATGTAGCCATTTACAAAATGTCATTTTTTAAATGCACAAAAACTCAAGTGTAATCACTGAACATTGTTTCATTTATGTGTGAATGGATGTATGTACATACTGTACCAGTAATCAGTTTAAATCCAACAAAAAAACATTTTCCTATAAAAATACAAGCATTTAACCACTGTTGGTAAAAAAATTAATGACACTTCTCTTACCGTCTCTCTGTGTTACAATCCACAAACTGTTTTGTAATTACAATAAATATAATTATTCACTTCATAACTATTACCATCACATAACTGCATATCAACTGTTGAGTGCCATATTTTCAAGGTAAGAACTAACATTATACTAACTTTATTCTCAACAATACTACATGTAATCAAAGAAAAACAGAGTCATTTTTGAAGACTTCAAACTTCTAAATTACTCGTAAAACTCATGTTACACCAACATAATGTTATATATTTCACAGTTTTCTATGTTAATCTAAATAGTTTGTGTACTTACTCCTAGTTTACAACTGCGTATCCTCACATAGCCTTGCTTAACAATATCTCCTATATCTGTAGCCATTTGTTGATGCCGTTAACAAAGAATATGCATGGTTGTTTCACCTATGCAAAAAAGAAGAAGAAATTTTTAATTACTTAAGCAAGTCATACATAATGATGGTAATACACATACAACATGAACTGTAAGGCTTTTATTATCATTTTTCCTACAGACTTTTTCACTTTTAACAAGTCACCGAAAGTAAATAGAAAAATAACTCCTCCCCAAACCCTAAAACTATAGGTTCAAAATGTCACAAAAATACAAGATAAAGATAAAAAGTAAAAGTAAAGATAAAATTTGAGGTTGGTTCAAACCGATGTTATGAATACTCTTTCAACCTATTCCCAGAAACTCATAAAAGTTTGTATTCAGGTTATTAGCGAGCTATAAAAAACACTTACAAGAAATTTGAGTGGCAAGTGAAAAGTTTATTTTATAATACTTTTCAAAACTAACAATTACTTCTTAACAGTTCAAGCCCCCAGAACTAACATATATATATATATATATATATAT